GGACGGAGGGAGTATTCATTACCTCATTTTAAATTTTTGCAAATTTGCAGGATGAGGGGCCAGGATTTTAGCCCTCAGCTTGATCTTGATTGGCTGGGATGTTGTTTTAGTCCTTAGCTTTTTTATGTTTTCCGAGTTTAGGTTCACACGCAGTCACGCACACAGACATAACTAAACCAGAATTTTGAGTAGAAAGCTCTATGAAACCAGTCTGAGATGTTCTGATTCTTTCTAGTTTTGAGATAATGATCATCACCATTACTCTTCATCGATAAGAACGACCGACTCATTTCCAAATCCAGCATCATTCAAATTTGCCGTGTCATCATCTAGCAATGTTGGCAATGGCGCCCCCTGCATAACCATTTATGACTTTGCAATGAAGTGTGGGATATCATTTTTATGCAAGCAAGTGTATACGAGTAGTTCAGTATGTACCACTTCATGAAGAAATAATTTGGGCTTGATAGATCTTAGGTTGAAGAAACTCTCACATAGGTTCTTCAGCTTCCCAACCTAACTCAAGCGTAAATGTCAATACCAAATAAAAGTAAGATGATAGGATACACGATGACGTTTGGGGTAATACCGTGGTTGTTGCGGGCAACTTCTTCGTAAGTGGGGGCTTTTCACAGATTGATGCTCCAACACACCTCATGGTAATTGCTGCAGGGTAAGTTCAAACCACATTCAGAAAGGAAGAACACATATACGCCATAGCAAGCTGATACATAAACAGAAGACAGTAAAAGATCTATTACAAATAAGTCCTGCTGCCATTTTCTGGGGCCCAGTTGGTCCACTCTGCAGTTTTTCATCCTCTATTCCATGGTATCTTTTAAGCTCAGCAAATCTATTATCATATATATATGACCATGTATATTAGAAAATCTAAATACGTTATTACATGCTCTGTCCCCCCACAAAAAGAGTTAAGTTTCAAATTCTTTTCAAGAAAGCTAAGTTGTTGTGTATTTTTTCCAATAAAAGTTACAAACAAGCTCAATATGATAAATTTAGTCAAACCAAAAATAATAATAACTAAAAAAATAGTTGGGGTTCAATGGCTTTAAAGAATTGTACCTTACCAAAACTAAAAAGTTGTACCCAGACCAAATCATCATCATCATTATCATTACCCCAGTGTCGCAAAGGCTCCCACCTATAGTGGGGTAAGGGGGGGTCGGATGTACGCAGTCTTACCCCTGTACTAAAGTACAGAGAATTGCATGGACCGACCGTTGCTTCATAACAAAGAATTGCATGGACTGACCGTTGCTTCATAACAGTTTAGTGAGCCCATTTGCTTTCTTCCATCATATTTCCAAGCCAAAAAATAATGAGTTTTTGGCTCCATTGCAAATGATGGAATATTGTACCCAGACCAAATATGGCTTATTAATTTGGGAGGGATGGACTTACCATAAGCAAGTTGTCAGAAATAACCAAATAAATACTACATTCGTTCTCTTTTAATTGCAACACTGGACTTTTTGCACTATTCACATATTCTACTTTGACTATATTTTATTAATTAATGTATTATAAATTAAACTTTTTTAAAAATATGGTTAAATTCTTCTCATTCTAAATTTTCAAAATATGAATTTTTTAAATTTTTACTAATAAGAAATGAAAGATATTAATGGTCAAACTTGTGCTTTGGCAAACGTGAAATGTTGACTGTTGCAATTAAAAGGGAACGGAGGAAGTAGTTTTTAAAAAAATATAAATGAATCAATTGGTAGAAGGGCCAGATACCAAGAACCAAAACAACAAAAGGGCCACACGCCCAAAGCACATAAGAGATTTACATTTACTTGCAACTGCCTAAACATGATAGAATTTCGACATTGGTCTGTAAGTACTTTTGAGATAATTACAGAAGAAAAAATGTTACCTTGGGTGAAGTCGCTCAATTTCTTGTGGAAATTCCCTACTCTTAGACATGACCAATCGGACATACCTGCATGGATATTGCTGAGTAAAACCCCATCTCAACAAGTAGGTGGGTCCATCATTACAGGAAAAAAAAAGAGAAAAGAAGGCCAACCGAATCTCTGATTCCTTCCGTTCCCGAGTACTAACCTACAGAAAGTCAATGAAAATATATACATAATCATTTTTTATAGAATGATTTTTAAACATCAACGGTGACGACTTCCACAGTATCCAGAAGTTACCTCGCTTCCATTTAATATTTTTACACCTGCTAGACGTGCAACCAAAACATATCGGGGCATGCCACACTTTTCTGGATCTGCTACTGGATTCTCTGAAAGTCTGACGTCCTAGGTAAAAAAAAAGGCATTTAAATCCTCGCATAGATTTGTAAACTCATATATTGCAGCTAAGTATGTGATAGAACTTCCGCAATTCCAGAATCAATCACAGAGAATTAAGAACAAAGTAAAGAAAACTGAATTTTATTCAAAGCAGGTAAACCGTACAGAGTTGTCCCAAAGAAGGAGATAGACTCCAACTTCCCAGTCCCAGTCCAATCCCAATTTCTGCCTAACCTCCTCTTTCCCCACTTGCCACTCTTATAATAAGGCTACCCTCAAGGGCTGGCCCAAAATCATAACATAAATGGCCCAACCACCTTATTTGTACACTATTACATTATTTATTATAATTCTATTATTCTTATTATTATAGGCTGTCTATGTCCCTATCATATCTCCCCCCTTGAACAACCACCTTGTCCTCAAGGTGGGTGATAGGAAACAGCCTTGTTGACCTTCAACATCTTCTTCATCCGAGCGCCTCTTCCTTCCCAATATCTCGCTGTTTTGTTGAATCAGAAGCTTCAGTACTTGTACCTCCAAAATCACAGATGTTGCGGCTGCAGAAGATATGTCGAGTGCAGTTACATTTGTTGCAGTGGCCTTCAAGCACTTACTAGCTACAATTAATTCCTCTTTTTCAAAAAACTCCTCATGGACTCTTACTTCTGGAGTCATCAGTGAGTTGGATGCAGATTTGAGGTTGCTCAAATTACTCAATTCACTGTCTACAACAAGCCTTATGCAAAATAAGTTGTGCACCACAGTACTGCCATGCGATGTCAGATTCTCCAACCGCCAAAGTCCCAAGTCTGGGAAGTTTTCTTATTTCCTTTCCCTTATAAGAGAGCCAATAGCTCTTGCAGCAACAGAATGAGCTTCAGGGACTGGTTCCTGATGAACTTCGGTCAGAATACTCAAGAACATATTGGTTTCCCGATTCTTAAAAGTGATGACCGCCCCAAACTCCTGTATTTTATGAACATGTCCTTCAATATTGCTACCAAGAGCAGACTCATCAGTCCATCTCAGTACAGAATCAGAGGAGTCCCGAATTGCAGAAAATACCACATTGCAGCCTTCCACATCCAGAACCGAAAGCTGATCAACTTTAAAATCAGGCTTCAAGATAGACTTCATCAACCCAACCTTATCAATAAAATCAATGGATGTATCTGGAAGATATCTATCACTCTTGTCTCTAGCTGAAAGTTGCACAGCAGCTGTTATGGCCTCATAAGTATATTTATACTTACTATACTCATCATTCCACTGCTGAGGTTTGCTCGTATAACCTCCTTTTTCCTTCCATTCCTTCCTGTCTTCATCTCTGAACTTCAAAACAGTGCCTACCAGTTTAATGCTAATCATTAGTATGATTAACTTTTGAAACCATTCTGGATGAATTCTTCTAGTCAGTGTCTTCTGCAGAGGATTCCATGTATAAGCAGTTGTCTGCTCCTTTTCCCCGTTAAACCCATTCACTGTGATTTCCTCAAACCCCGTCTTCTCCTTAATTACGTCCTTGATTTCCTCTTTCATATTCATTTGCCTGATTACAGGTTCAGTTAGTTCCATCTGTGTCTTTACTTGTACCTCTTCTGGCTGTGAGCGTAATTGGAGCACTTTTGAGTTTGTCAGTAATATACTTACAATTTTGAATACTAACTACATATTTTAAATTACACAAGATTTTAACTAATTAAATCAAAACACTTATCAAATATATTTTTTATCTTTATTTTAGATTCATACAAAAAGAAGAAGCAGGTTAGAGCATAAGCGGTTGAATGACTTGGTTTTTATTCAATATAATCGGAAGATAGCAACCAGATTTCAGAAGCGGCGTGAAGAAGGAACAAACTTCAACCCTTTAATTTTTGAAGATTTCCAATGGGACAATGAATGGGTCAGCAATGAAGTTGTTCATCCTGGTGATGATCTTCTATGGAGTCAAGTTGATGAAGCCGTGGGTGCATCAAGCAATCTTGAGGGTCGTAATCTTCCTAGAACTAATAGCTCTCGTGGAGAACCGGTTTATTATCGACGTCGTGGTTCGAATTCTTCATTAAGGTTGATTGATGAAGACATGGACAATGAAGAGAAGAAAGTTTTCCGAATGATGATGAAGATGTTGAAGATGACTATGGCCAAACACCACCCACTCCTACTCATGATGATGATGATCAGGGCGAAGGCCGTAGAGATGATTTAGTCCTTGATGATTTTTGAGAACTTAGTAGTTTGAACTTTGATCTTTACGCTGCTTATTTGAGATATACATTTTTAATCTTAATTCCTATTAATAAACCTTGTTTTTAATTATTAATTGTGGATTTCAATTCTAAGTTATATACATTTTAGTTAATATATAATTATATATATATATAATATATAATATAAAATTATAAATATATAATACACATATAGGCGACTAGTCGCCTAGGCGGCCGCCTTGTCGCCTAGGCGATATGGCGGTCAGCTGGCGCCGCGACTCGACTTACCGCCGTGACAAGTATGGTGTCTTCTTTATTGACTGGGCAATATCTTGTTCAGGGTGAGAAACTTGCAAACTACTAGAAGTTGTTGGTGACCTTGATGATACATGTTTTCTGTCCTCCCTGTCTTCTGCCGGTGTTTAGGTGGAAAATCCCTAATCAAGTCTTCCTTTAGAGCATTCCAACAATCTTCTCTCTTATGAAAATCCCACCAATGAAACCAGCCATCTGCTTCTTCCCCCATAGCCTTCGCTGCCACGTCCACTTTAAATCTTTCTGCAATAGCTTGGACTCGGAAATATCTTTCCATCCTCCCAATCCATTCATATGCTTCATGCTCGTAGAATAGAGGTAATTCCTCCTTCTTTGAAATAGCAGATTTCCGAGAATTGACTTTTGACGAGGAAGGTGAACTGTGAGAATCCTTTGGAGACGAATATGATGATTCTCCACTCCCTAGCTTCTTTCTTGAACGCATATTGATATCTGAGGAGTCAGTCTGCGAGTAAAGAGAAAATGTTCGCCTCTGTGAATAGTGACCGGAAGTTCGCGAGTGCGAGCCAAAATAAGTAGTTCGCGATCGCGAACTGGAAGATGAGGTTCGTGACTGCGAAATATGAGAAGTTCGCGATTTCATCTGTGAATCCGTTGGTGATAGCGGCTCATGGCTGAAGTTCCTCGATCGATCTCCAGGTCTTCTACCAAGACTCTGTTCTTCCGATTCCTCCGAGTCAATCGGATGTTGCGTACGTCGATGAAGAGAGTCGCGATGCGACCTATGCGATTTGTGCGATCGATTCCGCGAACAATTTTTAAGTCGGTTCTGCAATTCTGCGATGCCAGCTTGCATCGTCGCTTGCATATCAGCCATCATCGTCGCTAACCTAGCGTTTGACTCCCTCATTAGTCGGTCAATATTATCAAAACTCTCTTCCATTTGAGGTGTCATGTAGAAATCCTCCTCCATGATTCAGATTCTCCGTCTCCAGGAAGTAAGGCTCTGATACCAATGATAGAACTTCCGCAATTCCAGAATCAATCACAGAGAATTAAGAACAAAGTAAAGAAAACTGAATTTTATTCAAAGCAGGTAAACCGTACAGAGTTGTCCCAAAGAAGGAGATAGACTCCAACTTCCCAGTCCCAATCCAATCCCAATTTCTGCCTAACCTCCTCTTTCCCCACTTCCCACTCTTATAATAAGGCTACCCTCAAGGGCTGGCCCAAAATCATAACATAAATGGCCCAACAACCTTATTTGTACACTATTACATTATTTATTATAATTCTATTATTCTTATTATTATAGGCTGTTTATGTCCCTATCAGTATGAGTTTCATCTTTTGATCAAATGTGCATAACATATTAACATGAAGTGTCTGGGAATACAGTTGAAATTTTGAATTGGAGACTTCGAAATTCATTATGACTTTATATTAAGATAAAAGCTTACCAACAAATCCGGGAAACTATTCAGTGAATCAACGGATTCCAGGTCTTTAATGTTGTTGTTACCTATAGTTTTAAAGATTAAAAAGCAAAAAAACAACCAGCTAAAGCAATAGCAGGAATGATTGACAGAAAAAATTTGTCATAGAAAGATGCTATGGTAATATTTTTCAGTATTTACCAAGAAGAAGGGAATGCAGATTCTTGAAAGGCCTAGAGCTTTCGGCAATACATTCATCAACATTCAGGGTTTCATACATAGTGACATTATCAGGGTACCAGATGCAGCTTATATTATTGTGATTCAAAAAAAGCTGCTCCAAACTAAATGCAGTAAAAGTAGTGAGAATGGGAACCAAAAGAAGTAAAAGTTGAAAATTTTACATGAACAGAAAAACGTTCAAGTCTGGTACCTTTCAAGTTGTGAAAGCTTCAAAATTTCACCCCACGAATCTATACAGTTACAATCCAGATTAAGGAGATGAAGAAACTTGAACCCCTGAACAAAAGCTGAAGATGATGGCTGGATAGACAAAAAAACACATTTATTAGAGAAAAGCTTACCAAAAATTTTTATGACTCACGACAAAGATTTTATCTTTTGATCATTTACGCAGTATGCATTACAGAACAGATTGTCCATTCCAGTCTCCGTTGTCAACTTAGTGAATATATGCCACACATGTACATATGTACACATATACATACAGTCATACATACATACATATATACAGGGAAAATGTACGATATGAACTAAAAGTAACAATAATAGTAACGAAATATTACAGCGGAGAGTACCATTATTTCTTTCAATTTATTCCCAACCAAATGTAACTCTTTTATCATAGGAAGGGAATCTTTAAGAATCTCAACCTGTTAAATTTGATGTGTTATACGTAGAATATGTTTACCAAAATTTAATTAAGATAATGAACTAAACAGAACGCTTACATGCTTCCAGCTGATTCCAGTATGGTTCAAAACTAAAACTCGTATAGCATTTAACATGGGCATTCCACATATATCATGTGACATAATGTTGCGGGATAGGTTCAGAACTTCAAGAGCATTTAACGCTGTGCAGATTACACCAACATCCTAGTAATTAAAATACACACAATATGGTTCAGTCATTTGTATTGTTATAGGTCAACAAACAAAGATGAATTTGACTAAGAGGATTGGTTCTTATTGAAAAATACTAAAATAGCATACTTATTTCTATCCGAATAAGCCAAAATAAACAGATAAAAGCTATACTTCATTCGTGTCAAGCTACATTACTTTTAGAGACAGGTCAAACATAAAACAGTCAGCTTTCAGATCTCTTAAACTCGCTTATAGACCTACAAAAGCTATGTGGAAAAGAGCGGCTGTGATGCATCAATACTTCTTTGACTATAAGTCTATAAGGTGCGAGACAAAAGGCAACAAAGAGACAGGAACTCCATGAAATTGGCAACAAAAAATTGGTTTCATCTCAGACACGACCGACAATAATTAGCATGAATGGTGTGTCCAAGCAACAGTAGAGACACAATAGGAACTGGGGGCATCAGGCATGCGCCCCAAATTTCGGAATATTAATAATCCCTCCGTATTCTTTTGTTTTTTATATTAAGCTTTTCAAAAAGTTTAAGGGTAAAATAGTAGGGGTAGTGAATGTTGTAGAAAAAGTAGGAAAAATGGTGGAAAAGTGTGAAAGAGAAGATGAAAAGGTAAGGGTAACTGAGTATCTTTAGATGGAAAAAATTATCAAAAAGGGAAATTGTTGCAAACACTAAAATACTTCTTAAAAAGGAAAGTGTAGCAAATAAAAGAATAAGGAGGGAAATTTACATTAAATACAATTATTTTTGCATGTGATAGGTATATTTTACTTATTTATAAATATTAATAAAGTACATTGTCCCCCCGCCCTCGAAAATATTATTTTCTTGATATATGTTACTGTCTCCAAAATCTTCAATCTTTCACCAACAATGCAGAAAGAAATTGCAAGGTCTCTTAAATTTCTTAAATAAAAAATGAGACTCAATAAACTGATCACAATTATAGTTGCTTTCGTAGTTTCGTTTGACTGCATAATTAGGCGGTCATATCCCAAAGGTTGCTATACGAAAGGGGATTCCATGATCTAAATCTGTATTGAGTATGGACTAACCTCCTCCATACCACTTTGTTTCCTAAGCTAACAAGAGTAGGAAGTTTCGTTTCTTATAATATCACTGACAGAGTCTACAAGTTTAAATAATACCCAAAGCATTTTAGCCTCGTAAAAATACTAACACTGTAATGACAAAATGAATTGAAATTCAATGCAGTAAATGGAAAAAAATATGACATTCCATTGTTAAACATGTACCTCCCACTCAGAGAGCAGGTTTCCAGTCAAAACAAGCTCCTTCACATCTGTAAAAACAGTTGATGTAAAAAAGGTCGTGCAATAGTGAGTTTCATAATTTACACTTAAGTGATGTGCATGAGTTCAGGGGGGAAATTCAATTAGAGAAGCAATTCATTTACTAGGTATAGTTGTAGTAATGTGGTGTGGATCTCCAGCATAGCCAACTCCTAGATATGACAATGATGCACTTTTCAATTCCTCAAAATGACTCAGTTTATTCTGAATTTCTTCTTTACCGAGAAGCTGGACCGTTACTCGCTTGTTGCTTGCAGAGAAAACATACATCTCGTCTACATCAGAGGAAAACAAAAATATACAATATTTGGGGAGGGGATCAAGAAACGATTAATATATATATATGAATAATTAAATAACAACTATTTGAAATGTGTTTGTTTGTGAAAGTATGTACAAATGGAGAGTTATACATAAACATGAGAACCCGTGCTCTACGACAAATTGACAATGTTATCCATATGCTTCAACATTTTTAAGGGCCCATTTGGAACCCAAAAAACTAGGGAGAAAATAGAAGGGAAATGCGGGGAGAAACATAAAAAACGTGTCCAAAGAAATCATTTTTTGTAAAATGACTTTAAAATATACTACGTACCAGTACCAATTATAGGATATAAGCTAATACAACTTTTGATATAACAAATTGATGGCAAAACTTATACCAAAAGTAATACGAGCATATTTTCAGGCAAGTAATCTGGCTAAAGTGCTGAAACAATGTTATTTTTTAAACCAAATTTTCACATCTTTTTTACATATTTACTTGAACTCGTTTGATCTACACACAACATTTCTACTAAATACTCCGTAGTACTTCGTATATAGTTCTAACATCTCCCAATGATCCTACTTTGACTGTTGATGGCTAAACTTATACCGAAAGTATAAGTTTTCCTGTTTACCTCCAAGTTCTGCATAAAATGATCAGTTTTCTTAGCATTTTTTTACATTTCCCTACTCTTTTATGGAGCACTAAGAATATGTGAACTACTGAACTTTAATAGCCAAGAACCTCATCATTCTTTTTAAGTAGTAATAAAAATGTTTTACCTATAAAACCAAGTAAATTCAATTCATCTGGAAAGAAAATATTTCCTCTGTTTCTGGTACCCATGATTTAATCTCCCTCGTTCTGAGACAAAAATGTCAACGAAGTGTTTACTTGAGTGTGTAACTCGCGAACTCTCCTCTCCACAAATGTTGCAATGCTTCATTACAGAATAGCAAAGGTAAGAGTTATACTTACCTTCATCTTCTTTACTAGAAGCCGTGCCATACCGGAGCTCGACGGCGTGCAAGAGTGAAATGCCGGCACTGAGATTGTTCGGCCGTACAAACGATGCCGATGTACTGCTGGAAGCTTCGAAGTATCGCAGCCCGTTATGGCAGCCATCGTGTTTGCCGTTCCCGTCGTCCCAATCAACTCCGATCCACGTTCCCGTGTAACCTTCCACTGGCCCGATATATTTCACGCTGCCGGTCCGGTGGGAGTCACCAGAGTAGTGCACTCGTTGGCCGACCCGAAACTCAGGCGAACAGGACCCGTTGCGAGGTTCTCTCAAATTGGATCTCTCGGAGCTAAGCATATTGACACAAGGCATTTTTCAAAAACAAATTCATTTATCTTTTACTTGTACTAATAAAAAAGGAAAAAATAATTAAAATACTCCAAATTTTAGTTTTTAAGCCAGTGCGATGCACGGGCAGTATGTAATTTAGCTAATTTGAAATTTAATTTCTATCGGATCACATATAATGTGATTTAAAAGAAAAATAAACTTAGTCTAATATAGAGTCTGTTTGATAATACTAAAGTAAAATAGAATTAACTTATTTTGCTAAAATTGATTGAATTCTGGTTAAATGGGTGGAATCTTCTGAATCATGAAAAATGTATGTGAAATATATTCCATTTGTAAAACAAAGAAAAAAATATATGAAAAAAAAAAAGTTAAATTGATCTTCTACGTAAGCATCTCAAGTAAACATAATTGTTATGAACTCAATAATAAAAAAAATCTATATTTCTTAATTGTTAGATCTTACAGTTTACTCATTTATAAGAACGTTTTTAATTGAATTAAACTTTCGGGTTTGATTTGGTGTGAATTAATATGGTCTATAAGATCTCTGTTTTTTATGTGACTTATTGTTATAATTATTAAAGTTTGATCTGATCTGATTTAATCTGGAACTGAAATCAATCTTATTAAAAACATTCTATTAAAATAAAAGTAGGAATTCGTAAACCTATAAAGATTTTCTAATTTGGATTAGGAATCTATTTCAAAAGTGAAGGCATGTTTAAATTTTAGGTGTAAAATAAAGAAACAATCAAAAAAAATTACTTATTTGACTAAGCTAAATATATTTACTTGTGAAAATGTTTATACTTTATGTTGGTTATAATTTTAAATTTCATTTTTAATTATTTACTTATTTGAAGCTTACTACTTTACTAATAGGTGTCAAATTAATAAGTAAAGTAATTTGCATATTTGTTTCTATTCAATTCGGTGTAGTAAACTAATATAAATTAGTTTCCATATCAATAAACGTTATTCGAATTTCATTTTGATAACCAAAAATTATTTTACTTATTCGAAGCTTACAAAATTAATTAAGGTGGATTTATAAGGAATTTTGTTTCCATGTCAATATGGAGGGCCGACCTTGGTGTTGTACAGGGGGTGCAGTCGCACAGGGCCCAATTTGGGCGTAGGGCCCAATAATTGAAGTAATTAGCCCTTATGAAGGAAATCAAAAAATCCACATCGGGAGTCAAACTCGTGTCATCTCCAAGAAGGAGTTAGAGGCTTACCAACCTACCAAATCAGCTTATTGAGATTCACTGGTCATTAGTGGTACAAATATATAATATCTTTAGTGAAATCAAATAGTATTACATCCAATACATTGTATTACTGGTAGTTTGTTAGTTAACTACGGTATTATTGGTATTACTTTACTATACTACCCTACTCTCTATATACATTTGTAAGTTACTTTATTTATTTCCTTATAGTCAGCTATATCAGTTCTTATTAATTTGGATTTCTTTTATTATGATATTTTTTTGTTAGCAATCAAAAAAGTTTTTCATTACATTTTATACTTACTTTTTATATCTTTAAGTTTATTGTTTTCAATACATGTGTTATACTGTGTATATAATTACTACATAAGTCCCAAATTAAATTGTAAAATTGACTTTTATGAGTCTAACAAATTCATTTCATTCACTTAATTGAGATATCAATTTTTAATTAAATTTTAATTTGGATTTTGAAATTTTATAGAAATTTTAGTGTAGTTTCTGAAGATGTAAATTTTTAATCATTCCGTATTAAAAATGAATAATTATTAATAAGGAAGATTTAACTTTAACATTGAGACGGAGGCAACTTTTTTTAATAATATAGGGCCTTTTATTTAATTTTGAATAAAAGGTATAAAAATAAGTAAATAATTGTTATATATAATGACATGGCAGGATTATGTGGCGCTTTGTATGTTCTTTAAAAGTTCCTCTTTTATATTTATTAATAGGTGTCAAATTAATAAGTAAACTAATTTGCATATTTGTTTCTATTTAATTCGGTGTAGTAAACTAATATAAATTAGTTTCCATATCAATAAACGTGATTAGAATTTCACTTTGATAACCTAAAATTATTTTACTTATTTGAAGCTTACCAAATTAATTAAGGTGGATTTATAAGGATTTTTGTTTCCATATCAATATGCAATCAAAAATAGAATCTAATAAAAACAAAAGGTATAAAAATAAGTAAATAATTGTTATATATAATGACATGACATGATTATGTGGCACTTTGTATGTTCTTAAAAAGTTCCTCTTATATATATATATATATATATATATATATATATATATATATATATATATATATATAACACAAGCTTTTTATAAAAAGTTATTTTAACATAATGGTCATGTATTATTTATTCCAAAAATGCAAATTTATGGTGTTAATTGCATAATTTAAAATATTAAATTGAAAACGCTGCAATTATATAGAGTGGGGGGTAATACTATTTATTTTTCAATGGAAGTTTAAAATGTTAATTGTATCTTCGTGCTAAAAAAATTAAATTATGAAATTAACATAAAAAATTAACATTTTTGAAAGAAAAAATACATGACCATAATGCTAAAATAACTTTTTATATAAAGTTTGAGGTATTTAAATTACATATGCAAGTTTGGGTTGCTTACATCACACCCCTTCAAAGTTTGAGGTCTTTTAATTATTTTTCCCACTAAAAAATTAAGAGGGTGTTTGTGAAGATATTTGCAATTTGATCTTGAGACTTCACATATGCTTGTTGCACCTCTTTTCTTGAAATGCATCCTTTAACTTTAATATGGTGATAGTGTGTGTCAATATGTTTGCTTCGACCGAGACACATTCGCAAAGGTCATTGATGACTTGTTATTCATGAGAATGTTGGTCGGATCTTTTTGTGGAAGTCTCAACTCCTTTAATAAGTTCTGAAGCCAAATGGCATGACAATTACATATAGTGGCAACCATGGATTCTACTTCACACGTAGATAAGGGCCACAATCAGTTGCTTCTTTGACATCCATGTGAATGCAGTACTTTCTATGAAGAAGACAAATCCATCTTGATCTCTGGCCCAATCACTACCATTGTAGCCAAGTTCAAAGTTGTTAGGGCATTAATAAAATAAATCAAACTTTATAGTACCTTTAAGATATCGAATGATCCTTTAGTGGTCCTAAAATGGGTACTTGCAAGAGCTTCCATGAAGCGGTTAATGACTTTAACGGCAAAGAGAATGTGTGGTGTTGTGCATGTTAAGTAGCGTAAGCTTCCTACTAAGCTTTTGAAGAGTGCTGGATCAGCAGGTTCTCCTTCATCATGCTTTGATAATTTGGATTCATATTTCATGGGCGTATTTATTGATTTGCAATTTTCCATCTAAAACGTCTTGAGTACTTTTTTAGCATATCCTTCTTGAGAAATGAAAATGTCATGCTCCTCTTGCTTCACTTCAATACTGAGGTAGTATGCCATAAGTCCGATATCCGTCGATTCAAACTCTTTTTACATCTCCTTCTTAAACTCTTCAAATATGTTTGGATTGATACCGGTGAAGATCAAGTCATCTACATACAAGCAAACAATTAAAATTTCACAATTTTGTACCTTAATGTAGAGTGCATGCTCATATGGACATTTGATGTAGTTCCTTCCATGAAGATACTTATCAATTCGAACATCCCATGCCCTCAGAGCTAGTTTTAACGCGTAATGTGCTTTCTTCAACCTTAAGACTTTATCGTCTTGCCCTTTAACTTCATAACCTCGTGGTTGCTCGATGTAGACTTCTTCTTCATTAAATCCATTTAAAAGGGCCGATTTTATATCCATTTGATGTACCTTCCAACTGTTTTGGGCTGCCATACAAATTATTAATCCAATAGATTCTAAGCGTTCAACAAGAGCAAATACTTCTTCATAGTCAATTCTAGCCTTTTGACTATATCCTTTCGCAACTAGTCATGACTTGTATATTTCAACAACTCCTTTTGCATTTTTATTAGCTTTGTACACCCATGTTACTCCATTTGCTTTGTGACCTTTTGTAAGTGAAGCTAGCTCCCATATTTCATTCTTCTTGATTGACTTTATTTTATCATCCATTACGTCTTTCTAGTTCTAGTTTACCATAGCTTCTTGGAAGTTCATAGGCTCACAATCGACAAATAAGCAAATGCCAAAGTCATGATGCATATTTGCAGCAAGCTATAAGGAATTTATCTATGTCATTTTGAATGTTTATTATAAACATTCTGTTTTTTACATTGGCACTTTGGTAATGAAGTTATTTTTATTGTCTCTTATAGAAAGACCATAATCTTTTGTGCGGATATCATAGCCTTTCTCCAAGAGTTTCCTCAAACTCTTAGATATATTATATTTCATATTGGGCATACAATACACATTTGAGATGATTAAATTGGTGCCTTCAATTCCTTAAGCGGATTAGAATTTTACCATTTCCTTTAACCGAATTTTTTGAATCGTCACGAAAATATACATTGTCACTCACCGATTCATCAAGCTCCACAAGCATACTTCTCTTCGTTCCCATTTTCTCCTTTATATGCTAAAAGTAGAGTACATTCTTTCATATTATCTTTCTCGACAAAGTTGACATTTTCTTCAGATCAACTCTTGTTTTCGGATTCCTACACTCTAAAGAATGATGTCCAAACTTGTGACAATTATAGCATTTTACTTGAGACTTTTCCTACCTTATTCTTGGACTCCTCCTATGATGGTTGTTAAATCCTCTTCGTTCACGACCATGGTCTCTCCCTCGTCCTTGGCCACGTCCTCTTCCACTTTGACCTCTAGTATCACTATGTACTTCTTCCCCTTGGTTAAAATTGAGTTTAGCTTATAAAACATGATCTAGTGATTCATTTTTTTTCTCTTGGTTTTTCTTCATTACCTCAAGTTTACGGTTAGCTCACCAATGGTTATATTCTTGGTATCATTAGATTCTTCGGTGTCTACTACCA